GTGTCCGATTGGGTCCGAACGGGTCGGACCGGGTCCGATGGGGTCCGAACGGGTCGGAACGGGTCCGATCGGGTCGGAACGGGTCGGAACGGGTCCGAACGGGTCGGAACAGGTCCAAACAGGTCGGAATGGGTTTGAACAGATCAGAACGGGCCCGAACGGGTCGGAACGGGTCCGAACAGGTCCGAACGGGTCAGAACAGGTCCGACCGGGTCGGAACGGGGTCCGAATGGGTCGGAACGGGGTCGAACGGGTCGGAACAGGTCCGAACGGGTCCGATAGGGTCCGAACGGGTCGGAACAGGTCCGAACGGGTCAGAACAGGTCCGAACTGGTCGGAACGGGGTCCGAATGGGTCGGAACGGGGTCGAACGGGTCGGAACGGATCAGAACCGGGTCAGAACGGAGTCACAGTGCCGCTCTAACCCGGATCTGCTAATGAAGCTGTTTCTTCTCAGGTTTCCTACATCGAGGATCGGATCGCTGCACTGAGCACCGCTGGAGATCCAACAGACCGCAGGAGGAAAGTAAGGTCACTGAAAGTCACTGAAGGTCATTAAAGGTCATTAGAGGTCACTGAAGGTCACTGAAGGTCATTAGAGGTCACTGAAGGTCATTAAAGGTCACATAGTCGTTGAGCTGATTAACATGACATCACCAGTTTATGAATATCAGAGCTTCAGGCCAGACCAAGAAACTTTTTACTCATTTTTATTTTATTCTCAAATTGTTACAATATTTTGATAATATTACATCTTTGTTTTCATATTACGAATATTCTCACATTATTATGACTTTATTCTCATATTATTATTATTTTTGCCCCCATTAGGTTTTATTTTTGTATTATGACTTTTCTTCATATAGTTTGGAGTTTTTTCTCCTCCAGCTGCGGCTCTGAACCTCAGACGTTTTTCTCCTTGTTCAGCCAGAAGCTCTGGGTGAACTCTGACCTTTGCTCTCTGTTTGCAGTCAGTGATCCCGGTCCGGGCTCGGAGACTCTCCCATAACGTTCCCAGCAGTAAGTGCCGCGCCGCGAGCCAGAGTGTTAAACCAGTGGTCCCCAAACTTTTTCCTGTGAGGGCCACATAACTTTTCCCTTTTCTGGTGGGGGGCCGGACATTGTTCACGGGGTGGGGGGGCGTTTCACGATTGATTTTTACCCTGAAAGCACATGGGCAAAACCCATGAGTGAAACGGTCACACATGGGTTTTGCCCATGAGTGACTATATTCTCTAACTAGGAATATATACTAGTTTTTGCTAGTATATATTCCATTGAGGGAATGTAACTTTAACATATTAATTTCTTATATGTTACCATAAAGGCTCGTTTTGAAGTATAAGCTGCTACTTACAGGCAGCGTTCCTAACAGACACGAGTTCATCTGCTCTACTGCTAGCAAACAACCGAACTGATTAAATAACATAAAAGTCGAGCAGTTCCCTAAAAGTCCAACAGATGGCAGCAATGCGCCCCACAATTTACAGGACACACTTCCTGCTAAAGAGCCCCCTGGTGGTTGAAAAATCCACATATAAACCGGAAAATACAATAAATGAAAAAAAATCTGAACGCTCTATTGTTCAGGGGGCCGGACCAGCGGGCCGTAGTTTGGGGACCCCTGGTGTTAAACTCTGGAACATGAAGAAATTTAAGCTGGAGCAGGAAGTGATGTCATCAGCTCGGTAACAGTAACGTGTCTGTGCGTTACAGAATCCGGTGCCGAGGGCGGGCTGATGAAGAGGAGGCTGAGCATCATGTGACCTTCATCGCTTCGCAAAGGTGTTAGTGAACATCCCAGCATCCCGTTACCGTGGTAACAGGATGGCGTTCCAGCCTGTAACCGTGTTTTTTTTTTTTTATCTCTTTGTGTTTATTTAGTTTGAAGGTTTAATCGTAAACAAGCGTGAATGAATCTGTAACCATAGCAACGTGATGGAGCTGCTGGTGGATTTCACAGAAGCTCGTTTAAGTTTTTATAATTTCTGAAGTTCGTCTTTATTTCCATCACAGAACCAGAACCTCCAGCAGGTCGGCGTCACACTGCCATCTACAGCTTTGACTAAAACGCCACTCACAAGATGGCGGCTGCGTCTCTGCATCACAGCTCAGTTTAAATCTGATCAATATTTTAGATTAACATATTCTTAGTTTTTGCTGATGTGATTTTTTTATAATCTTTATTTCACTTCTGTTCCTTTTGTTGATATTTTTCTGTGTTGGTTTTTAATTGTACAGCGACCATGAGAGTCCTGAAAGATACTTTAAAATAAAGTGTATTATTACTTTATTAAAGTGTAATATTACAGTAAACTGGGCCTGACCTACTTCAGGACGTGCGGCTGAAGGAACACAACCGGAACTGAAGGTCCAGAAAGAATCCAGAACCAGAACCAGGTTTGGTGTCAGAACTGGGTCTGGTTTTCATTTCCATCTTTTAAAAACGAAAAACTGAACCGTTAAAAATGACTCAGAGCCTTTCAACATGCAGGTTCTGCTGGGATGAATCCCATCTGGACCGGTCCTCCATGTTTTCCTGCTGTTTTTATTAAATGCTTCAACAGACAGAAATCTGTTCTGGACTTTTTTTTCTCCTGACCAGCAGGTCAGAGCTGAAGTCTGACCTGCTGCGTCTCCGTCCTCTCATCACCTGAACCAGAACCTGGATTATCTGCTGAGTCACTGGTTGCTATGGTGATTTCTGCCTCCTCTGGGCAGCAGGAGCCCACAGCACTACTCCTCTTTTATCCGTCGGTTCTACTGGGAGTGGGCGTGTCCCTCTGCTCTCTGGCCTCTGATTGGACAGGAAACAGGAAGTTCTCCAGCTGAGATCAGAAGGAGAAGCTGGTTAGTCCCAGGAGGTTCTGGATGTTTCCGGGTCAGAACCATCATCACTCTGACCATCAGAGAAAATAAACTGGGATTGTGGAAAAACTGGAAAATGGATCAGAATAATTGGATCGGATGAAGTCCATGTGACCCGTTTAGACTCTGACTGGTGGTTCTGATGGAGAGATGGAGGTCCAAACAGGACCAGCTCAGTTATTTAATGCTAAATGTGTTGAATCCAGCAGAACAAAGTTTATCTTATTAAAATAAATCAATAAATAATAAATGAGTTAATATCTTTATTTAAGGTGATTTGTTTTCTGCTCATGGTGGGAAAAGTCCAGCAGAATCCCATCAGAACATTTTGGTTCTTGAAAACAGTGGATGAACAGAACTTCATGCCTGGTTCTGGTTCTGCTCACTCAGGAATTAACCGTCCTGTTATGTTCCTTTCTGAGGTACAGTATTTATCCCCCCACCCACTTCCT